GTATCGAATGGTATTTCCGGAGTGATTTGAGATTTGGGCGTAATTGCTTTTGTAAACAAATACTTCAATTACTGATTTTTCTTGAATAAAAGCTCATTCTCACAAAAAAAAACTATACCAAATGATAGAGGAATCATTCCTCTACCTCATAGTGTTAGAACTTTTCGAGATTGAGCTTTTATTTACGAGAAATCGGTGATTGACGCGTTTGTTTACAAATGCAATTACGCCCAAATCTCAAATCACTCCGGATTTTACACTTTTTCTGAAACAGGTGGCCACTAACTTGGATTAGAAAATGGCGTCGGACATCGATTTTTGGCCTTCACGCATCATCCGCGTTCCGAAAATGGCAATATTGTAAGGTATTTTAATGGCTTTTATAAACCAATGGCTGCCATCTTGAGACATCCAATTAGGGGTCGTACATCGTCGTCCTTTATCTGAAAATACCCATATTGTATGGTATTGTACACTTTTATGAAACCAACGGCTGCCATGTTGGATTCCAAAGTGGCGTTGGACGTTGATTTTTGGAGTCTACGTATCGTCCTGTTCCGAAAATACCTATATTATAGGGAATTTTACACTTTTTCTTTACCCAAGTGCTGTCATCTTGGATTCCAAAATGGCGTAGAATCGGCATCTACACGTCGTCCTCGTTCCGAAAATGCCCATATTGTAGAGTATTTGACACTTTCTGAGCCCAATGGCCGCCATATTGAATTCCAAAATGGTGTCGGGCATCAATTTTTGGTATCTACACGTCGTCCTCGTTCCGAAAATACCCATATTGTAGAGTATTTGACACTTTCTGTACCCAATGGCCGCCATCTTGGATTCCAAAATGGTGTCGGACATCAATTTTCGGAGTGTTCACTCGGCTGTCAACAGAAGCAGACCACCCGCAATGTGTGTCACGGGATCGCCTGTTTACTCGTCAGCAACCATTGTGTGGTCCTCCCCATTGTTCTTCATCAGCAGGTCTTTCAGTCGATGCGTCGTCGACTTTGGAAAGCAACCGTTTCGTGATGAATGTGTGAGTGCTGACCACGTTTTGCGTCCATTGCTGCAATGGAAGCGCTCTGACCCCCTTTGGTGAATCTGCCATACAATGAAACCACTGGAAGCCGCTCCCGTTCTGGTGGAGGAGGCTTAGTGGATAGCGGAAGATAAAATGTTTATTGTGTTGTACCTTTTGACTATAGTTTTAAGATGGCCACCATAATGGATTACAAAATGGCATCGGACCTCGATACATTTGACTGATTGGTTAACTGTCAAATAGTGTTAGCGTTTTTATGATATATCTCGCATATTGGATACTAGCGACAGTCACGACTCTTTTGAAATACTCAGTCAGACAACTTTCAGGAATAATGTTGGGGAGTAAACATTGATTCCAATCCAAACAAGAATTCCAAAAGCATGACTGTCACTATTCCCGCCCACGCCCATCTTTACCATAACGAGGGATAGGGAAGGAAATGTTGATGTATTTCTTACTTAACGAGAGACCCATTGGTTAACTGTCAAATTGAACGCAAAGTAGCAAAATCGGATTAATAGTGCGCGGTACTCACACTTTCATAACACTTTTAGGTAGGGTCTGTTCAAATATGACGTAATGCCCCATTGATGGGTATTTGACATAATTTTCCAATTTTTCTTGAAATCGGAAGCCACCATCTTGGAGTTTCAAAATGGTGTACCCATACCCATATTGATGGGTTCATATTTGACATCAAACATCCCTATTCTGGACATAAACTTTTCGGAGTCTATCCCGATAGAAAAACAATGGATATTATCCCTATCCACTTTTTTGATGTAGGACTACGTCTTTCGGGAAGGATGCCAATCCAGGGAAATGCAACGAAAATGGGTCAGACTTTAAATGCTAACAACATGGCCAATAATCAATGGATTTGGATGATTTATATGTCGATCGATTCGGCAGTCTTATAAAATTTGTGTACATTATAAATGTGCTAGCTAAAATAGCTAAACATAAGGAAACATTCAAATTTCTCAAACATTTTCTTCGATCGCAAGGTGCTCACCCCTAACACAGCCATCAGAAAGTTTTGTCCCTAACAACACAAGCCGAAGCCGCATAAATCATTCAGCGCTGCACGTTGGACGGGTCGACCTCGAACTCGTTCCAAGTGGACATCGTAGCATTTTTTCTATTCATTCACCTACATCAGCTATAACAGAAAATAGGAGGGGCATAGAATGATAATCCTAATGCTTAAGTAAGCGAGACGTAGAAAGTTTGACTGCAATCATTGTTTGGCTGCCGAGTGATAAACAGGGATGTTCGTTGCGTTGCACACTGAAAACGAAACTAACTCAGAGGGTAAATAAAAGAGACTCATTCTCTGAGTAATATTCGTTTTCATTGTATTTAGCTTGCCATCTCGGTTAGAAATTGGATATTGGATAGTCAAGCTCAGTGCTTAACTTGACAGCACGGCCAGAAAGCAGGTTTCTGTATTCAGTGAAGTTATTCGGATGGGCAATACCTATCGCATGATTGGCCTCTTAGTTTAGAATTCACTCACCATGCAGCGCTAGTAACATTTGATTCAGAAATACTTGCTTAAGCAGTCTACATTCACTGAAAATAAATCTTATTCAGAAAGTGAGTCTCTTTTACGTGAGTTACTCATGCGCTGAGTGACCAACGCTTTTAGAAATGTGTCTTTACGAATGAGAAAAAGTTCTTCACTCTCTGAGTTAGGTTCGTTTTCTGTGTTTCGACTAGATAGGAGATTGCTATCTCTAGTAATGTTAGTCAGATGGATAAGACCTATTGTATATTGGACACAGGATGACCAGTGAATGCTAAATCACCGGGAGAAGTCCGTGAATTTCGATGATGAACCGGGAAAATATATACTTCTTCTCTTTGGAAAATAATAATCTTTTCAATTACTAGATTTTCCGGTACAATCTCTTTGAAGAACTTATTCGAAAGTTTCGATGAACATTCCAAAGGAATTTAGAGGAAATTTTAGAATGAATTCTGGAGATAATAAGATACAAATTCTAATGGAGTTTTTGGAAATAGTTTTAAAGAGTTTTAACTACAACGCCAAGTCAATTGTTTAAATTTAAAGAAGAATTATTATGTGGTTCTGTGTGAAATTGCAAGACGATTTTAAAGAAGATTACAGGTTAATTTCTATTGAATATTCTAAAAAAAAAATCCTAGAAGAATGTAAAGAGAGTTATTATGAGAACTTCAAAGAAATTCCGAGAGTATTGAATTCTGAGGGAATTAGAAAGCTAATTTCAAATGAAATCTTATAAAAGATCCAAGAGACATCCGTAAAAAATATCAAGGGTTTGGAATTTTCAATTAAATTTCTAAACCATTTATTTTGTCATTTATGTAGTATTGAATGGAACAGCAAACTAATCTCGTAGTTCTAATTAAAAAATGCGGTCGTGCTTTGGACCGAGGGGGACGACTCTATCTACGATGCAGGAAAGATTGTGTTTTGCTATGGCTAGCTGCGCGCACGCTGAGTAGATAGAAAGAAGATTGACGACGATTCTGAAGATTTCCTGCAAAAACATGATGCACAATGCCTGTAGATGCGAGAAATGAAAGAAGATTTTTCGAAGATTGATTCGCTAGTGTGAGATTTGTTGACTTGAGATTTAGATGTGTCGCCCCCCTCGCTTTGGACACAACTCTAATTTTTTTTCTATCCGAATAATGTTATAACGGAGTCTAACTCGGATTTATTGGATAGGGATAATGCTCATGCGTCGTGAGGCTGACAAAATCGGGTAATTGCTGTAGTTGGGTTTTTTTAGCTTCATCACCAACATTTATTAATCCCCATTTAATTATTATTATAAAAAATATCTTGCCCCTCCAATAAGTTCATGAAGCTGGCGCTTCTGTCTAGACATAGATTGGGAAAACTATGCAGAACAACATTGTCAAAGATAGTAAGTCGATTCGACTTCTGTGCAAAAGTTATTAAGATTTTAGAAGCCTCTGTTAGTAGTTCGCCCGTCGCTACGCTCCTCCAACTAAAAAACACGTGCATGACACTAAACCTGAGTAGATACGCACTAGTTGAGCGTTTTTCGATTACCGGTTTAAGGTGAATTTATGAGGTGAATAATCGTTTGCATGACCTCTACACCTTCATCTAACAGTACCATTTTTTGCACAGACTCTTATTTTGGGATTAGGGAATGTCCATTAATTATGTCATTATATCGTTTGGCCCACTTTCAACCCCCCCCCTTTTTTTAACATTTTTTGTATGGATCTTAATTTTTTGTATGGATCGTCACAGCTTCCAAACCCCCACATCCCCCCTTAAAGTGTGACATAATTAATGGACGATCCCTTATGAATCAAACTATAGGATGGCCTATTAGATTGCAAATACTTTTTTTTGTGAACAGCCCTTAATATATTAAGACAGGACCTTTGCCGCAGTTATCCCCTATATACATATTTTATATATCGACAGTGAGCATGCATAAGGGCGTATACGCTATGATCGATTCTCTTCATCGATTTTCGCTTTACATTGCTACAGCTAAGGGAAACAAATTTCTATAATTTGTTCGATGCAGAGTTGTAACAGGTTGTATTGGCTTTCAAAAGCAACAGCAAACGCACCGAGAAACGTTAATTCTAGCGAGTTATTAACAAAAGAGAAAACCGACGAGAAGAATCGATCATCGCGTTTACGCCCTTATGCATGCTCACTGTCGATATACATAATTAGTTGATTAGCGATGTCAGTAATGTTAAATCAAAAGTGTTAAACCGAAAGCAAATAACACGCCATTTTGAAGCACAGCAAGCAAACGATTGTTAGTAATGAAACATTCTCTGTTCTGTTAAGTCTAGTACTTTAAACGTTACCAGCACCTACTTGAAGTTGAAACTACAGCAAAGCAAATAAATCAATCAATCAATCAACTAAAACCGAAAAAAAATGTAACACAAAACAAATCACCTCTACGCACTCGACGTCCCGTTTTGCTCCATCCCATCGAGCACTTGCGCATCCGACGATAAATTCTACCCAGCAAATGACCTCGTCGATTTTCCTTATCGCCTCCAGCATCTGTCCCCTTGGCCTCCATCAGCGCTGCCGCCCCGGAAGCATCATTGTGAGCATTTAATTTAGCACTTGTTTCGCAAGGAGCTAGCACTACCACTACGACATCGTCGTCGTCGTCGTCGTCGGCATCGCAATCAAGCTCAGGTGGAGCACCAATCTCGTTCCGCTGTCGATCCATCACACCGCCACCGTCGTCGATGTCCTCATCGATGAACACAAAACTACTGACGTCACCGTAGGATAGAACCCGCCGTTCGCCGTCCCTCCGGCGTACCTCTGCCACCGAATTGTTAATGCCGGTCAACTTCGCCTGTTGGCCATTGCTGGACCCGTGCCAACCCCCATCACCAGCAACGGTTTCATCGATTGGGATCGTCATCGCGGATGCAGTGGCCGAGGTTGATGCTGACGTCACAGGCGAACCGGTGGTGGTTTTCATCGTCGATAGCATCGGCGACGGACACCCGGAGGATACACTGCATAGCGGAGATCGTCGGAGTTGATGCTTCGGCCGGTCTTTGGCCCGCAGGAAGGGCAGCATTTTCAGCCGCATTGGAATGCTATTGCTTTGGTCCTGGAAGGATTTGCTCCGCATGACGATGGTGTCCTTTGCCGAGAGCTTGGTTCGTCGCATGGCCGGATGGATCAGGTTCCGGCTGGGAGCCGGTTTGAAGTGCTCTTTCTCCCTGCTCCGGAATATGCTACCGTAGTCGTCGGTGGCGCCATGACGCAGGAGCAGATCGTTGTCGCTTGGGAACCGGCCCTGGCCGGACTCGCTGTCTTCGCCGTCACCGTCGTCGAAGAAGGTGAACACCGGCAGCTTGTGTGGGCTGTCGTCTTCCTTGTGGTCGCCGTTTTCGCTGAACTCGTCCTGTCCGATGGTCCACAGTTCCGCTGGGGGTTTTGGGGGTTGTTTTTTCGTTTTTTGATTTTGTTGTTGTTGTTTGTTGGGGAGTTAGTGTTTGGCGACAACATCGAGAGCGGGTATTTTTTTTTTTCGATACATAGATAGAGAGCGTTCGCGAGAAGGTGGCAGGACATACATTGAGAACCGAAAAGAGTAGATGTACATACATAAAAATAAAGAAAGAGACAAAAGAAAGAGGAATCAAATTAAAATCAACATTGAATGAGAGGAACGTAATGCGGATAGAATTGATTATTTGTAATAGATGGCAAACAATTGACTAGAAAACGAGTGGCATGGTTGCATTTTATCCTAAAAAATACCAAATCACTTTTTTGAACCTCTTAGAAACACACAAACCGATATCTGACCGATCAATGGTCACAGGTTTGTCTTCCAAAAGGTACTTCACAACTGAAAAGGTAACCAATTCACGAAACTGTTTAAAATGACCTTTCCAGTTGGGAAGTTTTGGCATTTTCTTGTCTGCAAACAGCTTACAATAAACCTAATTACCGTGCACCCCCGGTAGTCTGACCGTTCTTAATCTGAACACTTTCTAGTTTGAACCCCGCTAATCTGCACGCCGTGCAAACTAAATCGAAAGCAAGCTGCTTTCCTGTAGATTCGTTGGCCGTCAATGGATGGCAATCGATGTCCGTCGGTGATTGGCACTAGATTGCGGAACAGAGACCGACGTTAAATAAAGGAATGAAGAAGAAGAAATCGAAATGGAACGATGCGAAACGGAACGCAGAATCAAAACAAAACAGAAAGTAAGGTTACCAGAAACGCTTTTGAGGGATTCCATCCAGAATGAGCTGAAAACACCTGAAATCGTGCTCGACCATCTTCGATTTGGATGATACTTTGCCCATATTTTCAGTATGATAGACCAAGTATTTTCCGCAGGAGAGGAGACTCTTTTGACTCAAGGGTAATTTTTGAAAAGGCCTATGTGTTTTTGCACACATACTTTAAAAAAAAATGGTAGTTCGAAAACAGTTGGTTGTAGAAAATTTTTTTTTACTAAGAACGAGTTGTAGGAAACTAATAAGGCTTTATAAAAAAAATATACACGGAATTATTTTTTTCGTTTTTTTTACAAAAAAAAAATAAATAAAAATAAACCTCAAAATTCAAATAACAAAAAAAAAAACGTATTTTTTTATATTTTTTTTTATAAAAACTTGAATAGAAAGCAGAAGTTTTGAAACAACTCTAGGATGGACAAACTTTCAATAAAAAAGTTTTTCTAGGAGCAACTTTTGAGGCATTTTTGAAAATTTCATTATTTACGGCAAAATGTTCAGTTTGATGTTAGTATATGATTATAGCCATGTCGAGATGTATATGGCTGCGGCTCCGCGATGTCCATGACTGACGGTTGCACTTCTAGTTCCAGATTTTCAGCACATGGTTCGATTCTATTTAAATTCAAGCGACACGTATCACAGATTGATAGAGATGTATCCAAATTGAATTTCCACTCTAGGAACTTATGTTTTTCAATCAAATTTTCGGATAATTTACGAAGCTTTGACGAACACCGTTTATTAGGAAACGGCTTGCAACACTCGACCTTCTTGAATTCCATATTCAAATTATACTTGTTCACTCAAAAAGATTTTTTTAGTGATGTCTGTTTTCAAAAGGATGGTCATGCTTATATACAAACGTAGGTACCATTTGGATATTCAGGTATAAATATTGTTTTGGTATTGAAGCTACTCTAAACAGAGAAGCTCTTTTTTTCATGAAAAATACCACGGAAGACATCTCTTCCGTGGTATCGTTTATCGAAGTTTATCGATATGAGCACTATCGTTTGAAATATTTTTTATAATCATATACTGACGTCAAACTGAACATTTTGCCGTAAATAATAAAAGTTTCAAAAATGCCTTAAAAGTTGCTCTTAGAAAAACTTCATTAAAAGTTTGTCCATCCTGGAGTTGTTTTCAAAACTTCTGCTTTCTATTCAAGTTTTTATAAAAAAAAATTCCCTGAAGTTACTCAAAAATCTCTGAACTTCAACGGAGTTTCCCGTGTTTCTACAAAATTCACTAAATTTATCTAAAGCTCGCTAAACTTCTACAAAGTTTGATGAAGTTCTACAAAGTTCACTAAATTCTACAAAATTTGCTGAAGTTTAAGGAAATTTCCTGAAGTTACTCAAAAATCCCCGAACTTCAACGGAGTTTCCCGTGTTCCTACAAAATTCACTAAATTGATCTAAAGCTCGCTAAACTTCTACAGAGTTTGGTGAAGTTCTACAAACTTCTCTGAATTCTACAAAATTTTATGAATTTCTTATATGTACAAAATGCGCTGAAGTTTAAAGAAGCTTCTTGAAATTTACTAAATTTATCATAAATTCGCTAAACTTCTACGAAGTTCTACCAAGTTCACTGAACTTCTGCAAAATTTGCTGAACTTCGGATGTTCCCCTAACGTCATTTCTGTTTTGAGCAATTCCCTACGAATTCGCAAATCGGTTTATTTTTGTATTTTTTGATTTGGTTGAAAATTTGCTAAAAACGTTCCTTATGACATGACCGACCATGCCATTTTGCATCTTCATATCGCCAATTTGAATCCAGCCTTATTTTTGAAAAGGGTTTATAGAAAAAATATCAAGCTTCTGTTCAGAAAATTTTTACTCGAAAACTGTTTGCCCGATCGGTTTGGTGTCTTGGCAAAATTGCAGATAATGGATGAGACTATTTGAAAAAAAATATGCACTCTAAATAAAATTACTCAACTTTTTTTTTAATTTCAAATAAAATCTTAAAAACAATTCTTCTCAAAAAAAGATTTTTTGTTTGTTGATATGTTTTAGGGGACAACAAATGTTATCTATTGCACTATAGGTCAAGATGGAGAAATTATGGACAAAAAAGTTATAATTTAAAAAACACTCAGTTTTTGGAAAAAAAATATCCAAAACTTGAATAATTACTGTTTCGACTTTATATAATGAAGGTACACCAAATTTATGACTTAGCAAAATTTTACTTGAGTGCTTTTTTATTGTAAATTTGGTGTACTTTCATTCTATAAAGTCAAAACAGTAATTGGACCAAGTTTTGGATATTTTTCCAAAAACTTGAGATTTTTAAAACATCAGAACTTTTATGTCCATCATTTTTTCCATCTTGACCTATGGTGAAATAAATGGCATTTTTCGTCCCCTAAAACATATCAACAAATAAAAATAATCCAAAAATTCCTTTTTTGAGAAAAATTGTTTTTAAGATTTTATCTGAAATTAAAAAAAAGCTGGGTAATTTTTTTTAGAGTGCTTATTTTTTTCAAATGGTTTCATTTATTATCTGCAATATTGCCGGAGACATCAAACCGATTGTACAAACAGTTTTCGAGTAAAAAAATTCGGAAGATAGGCTTGCTATTTGTCTATATGCCCTTTTCAAAAATAAGGTTGGATTCAAAATGGCGCCATGAAGATGCAAAATGGCATTGTCGGGCATATAAGGAACGTTTCCGCAAATTTTCAACCAAATCAAAAAATACAAAAATAAACCGATTTGCGAATTCGTAGGGAATTGCTCTTTTGTCACTCAGGTTTTTTTTTTTAAATTAATTTATTTGACAAGGCTCAACCGAATTAACTTTACAGAGCCGAGGATTCTTGTTCACTATACAAAACATTTTAAAACTATTTTTATCTTCCGCTGTCCAATAAGGGGTTGTTCAGTAACTACGTAGACAGTTTTTTTTTTGATTCTTTACCCCCTCCCCTCCCCCTGCGTAGACAACTGTCCATACAAAAAAAAATTAATTTTGTATGGGCCGTGGATAATTGACAACCCCCCCCCCATAAACTGTCTACGTAGTTTATGTACAGCCCCTAAGCCTTCTCCACCAGAACGGGAGCCGCTTCCAGTGGTTTCATTCTATGGCAGATTCGCCAACGAGGGTCAGAGCGCCTCCATTGTAGCAATGGACGCAAAACGTGGTCAGCACTCACACACTCAACACGAAACGGTTGCTTTCCAAAGTCGACGACGCATCGACTGAAAGAACTGCTGATGTAGAACAATGAGGAGGACCACACAATGGTTGCTGCCGAGTAAACAGACGATCGCATGACACACATTGACAGCCAAGGGAACACTCGTCACTCAGGTTTATAAATAAGAAATATTGAAATCCCCCTCTCTAGTTGCAAATTTGATCGAAGATTTGATCTTGAAGAGGAATGAGAAAGGTTTGAAATCACAGTTATGTGAAATTATTGAAAGGTAAAAGTCTGATGCGTTGGAGGGGTTGACAAAATGGGGTCATTCTGTAGTAGTGGAAAAGACTCGTGAAGACGTCCAAATATACCTGGCATCCCTGGCAGATGTCTGTTGTCTAATGAGTACCCGAATGAAATGTTTGCTTCATTTGACGTTTGATTTTTATGTCCACTCAAAAGTACTCATGTTTTCAAAAAGTGCTCAGATCAAATTTTCAGGTGAAATTTGTATCCAAAAAATGAGTAATTGATACCCAAAATTGTGTATTTTTGGGTAACAGTTACTCTTTTGGTGGCTAACAGTTGTACCCATTAGGAAAGATGCATAAACGACGTAGCATTTCAAGGTGACTAGCCATGTTGAAAAATACGGTACAAGGGGGAGCAAAATAGGTGCTTCAATGAGTTCATTATAGACCTTTTTGACGTCTAATTGTCTTTCTCTATCTAGCACACAGGAATGAAGGGATGGTTTGTTTTCCCACTCATCTGTTTCCCTCTTGCTCACACTTCTTTAATTGAAATTGTGCATTAGTGTGCGCCGATTTAACGTCAAAAAGCTCTTCAACGAATACGCATTTGTTGACATTCACCAGTGCTTGATTATCTAACCCAAAATTGTCAAAATCAGAAGCGATCCACAAAAGCAAAATAATCAAATTCATTTTGAATATTGTCGACTACAGAACCTAAAACCTAGATATTCAGCATGCACAACACGACACGTTCTTCAGCGCTATATTTGCGTAAAATGAGATTTTGCATTTGATCCTCAAAATCATCCCCACTAAGATGAAGACGAATATTAATATTGACAACAACGGAGGCGATAATGAACATCCAGCCACGAATGGATGTTATTTTTGTTATTTGAATTTTGAGGTTTATTTTTAATTTTTTTTTGTGAAAAAACAAAACAAAAATCCGTGTATATTTTATTTTTAAAGCCTTATTAGTTTCCTACAACTCCTTTTTTGTAAATTTTTTCTACAATCAACTGTTTTCGAACTACATTTTTTTTAAAGTATGTGTGCAAAAACACATAGGCCCTTTTCAAAAATTACCCTTGAGTCAAAAGGGTCTCCTCTCCTGCGGAAAATACATATGTGTTCATTTTTAGTAAACAGGGCCCCGCTGTTGTGTCACTTTTTGTCGAGTGAGTGAACTCAAATCCATCCGTGCACTCGTCAATAGACGAGTGCACGGGTGAACTTTTGTTCATCTACTGGAAAAAATTTGACACAACAGCGGGGCCCTGTTTACTAAAAATGAACACATGAATAATGCTCGCGTAACATTTGGAAGAGGCCTATCAACTTTTGTAAATAATTTGCTAGGTTCTTTCCACGAGAACCGAAGTACGTCCACGCAAACCAAGAGCACTATCGGGAAGGGAATAATTTCCCCTACCCGATGGTGATGTTAGTTTGCGTGGTCGTATTCGGTTCGCGCGAAAAAGGCTTAACAAGTTTTGTGTACGAAAGTTGATAGGCCGGTTTCAAATGTTACGTGAGTATTATTCATGTGTTCATTTTTAGTAAACAGGGCCCCGCTGTTGTGTCACTTTTTGTCGAGTGAGTGAACTCAAATCCATCCGTGCCCTCGTCTATCATACTGAAAATATGTGCCAAGTATCATCCAGATCGAAGATAGTCAAGTTTGGTGACTGACCGATTTGGCGTGGAATTGGTCATGATGTAACTTTGTTGTCTTAAAAACTGCCATTATTTCGAACAATTTTACCTAGTATCTAACTTTCCGGCAGGTGCTTCCAAAAATTTGATATTTTGTAATCGTAAAATTGAACATATTTGTAGTTCTGTGGCGAACGTTTCAGCTCAACTGTTCTTAAGAGAACAAAGTTACAGCATGTCAAGTTTGTATGAAAATCGGCATGCGCTGCAATTATATCGAACAGCACTGTATATAAAAAATATTCACTTGTATACTAGCGCCGCTTAGTAAATGAATTCTCAACTAATCTGCCCACCGTCCTTAAGGTCTTGGTCACCTGAACAACTTTTCTGAAGACAGAAACATTCTCAAGATATAGCTTAAGCAGGAAATACACATGCACACTAGCGCCGCGTAGTAAGACAATTCTGAACTGCACAGGCTGCTGTTCACCAACCACAACTTTTCCGAAGGCAGTAACCTTCTATATGTCCACGACCACGAGGTATTTTCTCATAGTAATTCACCAATTTTCGTGACCCTTAAATCCTTAAATTCCCTCTTCCTTCCGCGCTAGAGATTGCCCAATGAAAATGCGTCACGTTCTTAGATCTAAAGGTCAATTTCTGTGTGTTCTGTGCTTGTGTCACAGTTTCAAGCCAAGTCTCCCTACATCACCGGCCTGATTTGTGCCTGCTGCCTGTGTGCCACGTCACTGTAGCCATAATCACAGCCAGCAAAAATAACGGCCATAAATAGTAGTGCTTCAAACTCTATTTTTGGAACTTCAATATCGACAGACACGGAAGGCCACGGTCGAAAGAAATGTTGAGCGTGTTTCCCAAAAAAGAAAAAAAAAACAAAAGACTTCGAAACTGATTGGAAACTGCTGGTCAGCGCTTATTGAATCCACCCATCCCGCAGTCGCCCAGTGCCGTGTGTTTAATCATTCAAGGATACCCGGGCTGAGTACCAGCAGGAAAAGTTTGAGGAGTGTAGTTTCTAAAAGTGGAACCGACGACGCCTACGGAATGGAACTAGAAAGAAGAAAGCCGATGGCACAGATAAAGGGCACCGATTCTTGAAGCCGGCTAACGAGCGTAAACAATGGACCTCGATTGGAAACCGTCGGCCCCGTCCGTCCCCTCTATTGTTCATTCGGTTCCCGAGATCGGCTGAGGTACGTGATGCATGAATTTCGCTTGACAATGACGACTACGACGGACGGCATATAGCAGTGCGTGGGATGTTGGTATATGAAAAGAAGCACCCCCCCCCCCTCCCCGAAAGAAGTGTGTACTTACGACAAGAGTAATCCCTTTGCATGCCCGGTGTTCCCTTGTTCTTGTTCTGCACTCCGATGATTGCTTCCATTGGCACTTCAGTTCGCGGTATGGAGACAGCATGCGGTGGCAAGTAGATTGGCTGTAGCGTGCCGAAGGTGCACTCCGATGGGATGTTGTTCCGGCAGCCACCGTGCGTCGTTGTACCACACCATTCACAGCGGTAACCTGCGAGAGCGAGCGAAGCAAACGAAAATTCGAATTTTAAGTAATCAACCGGACCGGACGACTCCCTCCAAGGAACTCACCTGTAAGGCATTCATAGGACCAGCATGCCTTCTTGCAGTTCGCGCACTTCGATGATTGCGGCAGGTTGCCCTCACGCCAGTGGTGCTGGTGTTTGACGTGACCCAATTCCTTTCCCGGCACGTACGTGGCATTTTCCTTGCAATCGGGAATCGCAAAGTCCTGACACTCGACGTGGGCAAAGTACTCGCAAACTGTGATAGGGGGGAAGGAAACAAAACAAGGTTAGGACATCTGTGTAGGCTCTTGGAGATCTACACTAGTAGGTACTTACTTAGACAGTGAACGGCGGTGGTTTCATCCAATCGTTTGCGGCAGACCGAGCAGAACTTCCGTTTATGATGCGACGGCTCGGACCAGCAGTGTGCGACCGGGTTTCGGATGAGATACGGTGCGACGCCCAGGCATGGTGTTACTACATTCGTCACGCACTTTTCGTGCACGATAAAGTTGCACACTGTTGCGGGAGAGATTAGGCAAATGTTTGGTCTTGCATTAGTAAAGAGTATTGTTTCGTTTGTTATTGGTTCCAAGTGGGCCCGAATAAGCCAGAATACGGTTCGAATTTCAACGGTTCTGCCGGGGTTCGCTTCCATCGTTGGCTCTCGATATTTGATTTTGAAGCACTTTTTACACTCATGTTATTTAGTAATAGTCTTTAATAATTAAATTCAAAGAACGCTAATATTGAAGTAAAAAACATCCAACATACAAAAATACCTAATGATAAAAATGATAAGTGAGGCTTAATTGGCTAACAAATGTGTTCTAATAATGCGTTAAATCAGTTTTTCTCAATCTGTTGGTCGCGGCCCACCAGTTCGCAAAGGGCAAAAATGGACACAGAATTGCACATTTTTATTGATTCTAATACAGTTCCTTCCCGTTTTTTGGTACAAGGCATCAAATTTGATGTTTCCTCTATGACGTAGTCATCATCAAAAATATGCATATCCATCATGTACAAACTACGTCCCATATTTACTAAAAGCGCTTTGAGGGTTTAGCTAAGTCATTAAAGCAGGCTTACTCATGGTTACTCTATGAGTAATCAACTCTATTAAAACTATGCACCGAAATGCATAAGGAAATTTTTTGACGTCCATCCTGATGTAAGCAAAACTGCGCTGCAAATATACCTAACATAACATAGCTTCAATAAGTGCCCTTAAATAAACTATGATAAACTGCCTGCACGAGTAGAGGTAAATAGCAAAATCATAGCAAAATAATATCAAATTTTTATATGTTATCTTAATATTGAGTAATTTGTATGTTCTTCAATAATTCAACTCAATAGCATAGCAATAGCTTATTTTGCTATTAGATAATTATTTGCTAATATTATGATCCGGAATCTTCGGGCACCCCTCGGCGCCCGAGCCAACCAGTCGAATTAATGAGTGCTTCGGGCACGCAGGGCACCGGCAGTGCGGACGTCATAGCCCCACCGGAACTGCCGGATCACCTCTGCGGCCCGCTGACGAAGAAACAAAAGAAGAGCCCAGCGATAGCCCCCTTTGCCGGGGGACGTCTGGAAGAGGGACGCACAAGGGCGGAAACGCTCATCCCCCTATGGAAGACGAGGGAGTCAAGTCTGCTTCAAGTATCGGGACGGACAAGGCCTCGTCGACCCATTCCCCGAAGGACTTCGAGGGACTCGAACACGCTGCTATAACAATGACCGAAGCTGCCAAACCCAGTACGCCACCATGTAATACCTCTTCTCTCTCTCTGTTGGGTCATCCCTGCCCTGGGTGGGTGGAAATTCTACACCTGCCCTTGGTGGGGACCTCTCTCATTCAGGTGTCGATGGATCGGACACCTACGATATAGATCTACCCGTCGACCAAAGTGGCAGTCACCGTCGCGATGACACTAGCTCCACAATCACGGCGCGCTCGTACCCCACTCCTGCCTTGCCTAAGCCAGAAAACTTTATCCTGCAGTGGAACATTAACGGGTTCCTGGGTTCCGGGTTCCGGGTGGTGATCTAGGGCTGCTTTGCCACGACGATCCCCCCTGGGTCCTCGCACTCCAGGAAACTAACAAAGCGACAAAAGACCAAATGAACCGCTCTCTAGGCGGTAAGTATACGTGGACAGCAAAACGGGGAAACAACTTCCGGCACTCCGTGGCCATCGGGGTTTTGAAGACGATACCTTTCCAGGTTGTCGATATGGACTCCGAGCTTCCCATACTTGGCGTCCAGCTGGCGGCACCGGCGAACATCTCCGTCGCATGTGCATACCTGCCATGCGGACGGCTGCCAAACCTGCACGATCAACTCAGCGAAGCCATAGCTAAACTACCGGAACCGCGCATCCTGGTTGGGGATCTGAACGGGCACCACCCAAGCTGGGGCTGCCCCCGCTCCGACCCTCGACGTGTTACCCTGGTCGATATTTTCGAGAAGGAATACATGGTGATTCTGAATGACGGTGTACCCACGTACTTTAACTGCCGGCATACTTCTGCCATCGACGTCTCTGCTGTCAGTCGCTGCTTTGCCGGAAAAATTCAGTGGAGCGCGAACGCGGATCTCTATGGTTCAACTTTCGACCGACATCTTCCCGATGACAACACGGAGGCCCCGATGGCGCTATGAACAAGCGGACTGGGATAGCTATGGTGAAGCCTTTCAGTCCTTGTTACTACAGCGTAATCCGAACAGCATTGAAGACTTTTCAGAAGTGGTATACGAAGCAGCAACAGCAACCATCCCAAAGACCAGCAGCGTTCCGGGGCGAAAAGCGCTACGCTGGTGGAATGAAGATACGAGGAAGCCGTTAAAGCCCGGCGTAAAGCACTTCGCCGTGTAAAGCGCCTTCCTATCGGACATCCCGACCGCGAGGACGCTATCCGTCACTACCATAAGTCGCACAATCAATGCCGGCAAGAAATCCGTGTCGCCAAACGAACCAGCTGGATGGACTTTCTGAAAGGAATGAATTCGTTACAGTCTTCGGCCGACTTATGGAGGCAAGTCAACGCCCTCAGTGGGAAACGGCGCATGACACCGCTCCACGTACAGATTAACGGTGAAGCGGTTTCTGACCCTGCAATTGTAGCGGACGAACTCGGCTCGTACTTTGCCGTTCTTGCAGCCATCGAGAAGTACGAAGACGAATTAAGCGGAAAGCTAAGCCTTCGACGTCATCCATTGCAAGTTTCTCCGTTTCTTCTGACGCTGGAAACTCGGACATCAACAAGGCATTCTCCTGGCAGGAATTGCAGCATGCCCTCCGCTGCAGCAACGGAAAGTCGGCGGGCCTCGACGAAATCGGGTACCCTCTACTCAAGAGGTTACCAACGCCAGGCCAGCTACGGATGCTGGAGCTTTTCAACAAGCTCTGGCTCACCATCTCGTATCCAGCGTCGTGGATAGAGAGCTTAGTCATTCCCATCCCAAAAGCCAATGAAACAACCCGTGAAGCTAGCAAGTTCCGGGCAATAGCCTTGACATGCTGTATGGCCAAGGTCCTGGAGCGAATGGTCAACAGGAGGCTAAAGCATTTCCTTGAAGCCGAAAACCTGCTAGACCATCGACAGCACGCCTTCCGTCAAGGGTACGGAACGTCAACTTATTTCGCAACATTAGAGGAGGTCCTCAAGAGTGCCAACGACAGCAGTCTCCACACCGAGATCGCCTCGCTGGATATATCGAAGGCCTTCAACAGAACGTGGACGCCCCTCGCCTTAGAGCAGCTTGTCAACTGGGGGCTGTGTGAACCCATGGTCCACTTCATCAAAAATTTCCTGACCGATCGCTCTTTCAGAGTCGCAGTTGGCAACACAAGGTCCCAGCTTTTCAGAGAAGAGACGGGCGTCCCACAAGGTTCAGTTATCGCCGTTACCGTCTTCCTTGTGGCCATGAACGGAGTTTTCGGAGGACTGCCGAAAAATGTTTACATTTTCGTGTATGCTGACGATGTGCTTATCGTAACTACCGGCCCAACAGCAGCACGTAACAGGATCAAGCTTTCGGCCACCAAAAGCGTCAGGTGCCAGTGTGTCCATCCCGGCCAGCCCATACCACTGAAGAAGACGGTCCGTATTCTGGGGGTGCTTGTTGACCGGTCCCTTAACTTCGAGCAGCACTTTAAGGCGATCAAGAACGACTGCCGCAGTAGGATCAACTTGATCCGCACCATCTCTCGCCCCCACCGGTCTAACAATCGCTACACTCGTTTCCGGGTTGCAAGAGCCGTCATCGATAGTCGCCTACTGTACGGTCTTGAGATGACGTGCATCGCCACCGAAAAGCTCGTGCAGATACTAGCACCAACTTTTAACACCTACGTTCGGATTGTCTCCGGTCTTCTTCCGTCAACGCCCGCCGATGCCGCATGCATCGAAGCCGGTATTCTGCCCTTCCGCCATCGTATAACCGCAGCAATTGCAACGAAAGCCGCTGCCTTTACCGCAATGACCTCCGGAAATGACAGGATCTTTCTCCTCGATGAGGGGAACAGACTCCTCCGCAAGACTGCCAATTCGGAGCTCCCCCCAGTGGCCAAGGTCCACTGGTATGGAGACAAAAGTGGGCGCATACCTCCACCAAAAATCGAGAGTCGGATAAAAAGCAGGTTCAAGGCTGGAGATAATTCTGCAGCGCTGAAGAGAACAATAGCCGAACTGCTAGGCTCGGACAACCCAACCCATGCCCACATATACACGGACGGATCGCTTTCCCGAGCCAGGGTCGGAATTGGAGTAGCCGGAATTTCAGCACCGATGAGTAGCAGCCTACCGCCACAATGCTCGGTTTTCTCCGCCGAAGCTGCGGCCATCTTTGTTGCCGTTGCAACACCCTCGGACCGGCCCATACTGGTGCTATCCGATTCGTACAGCGTGATACAAGCTCTTACATCGGAGACCATGACTCACCCCTGGATACAGGGTATTGTGGAGGCCACACCTCCGAACATGGTGTTTTCCTGGATCCCTGGGCACTGCGGTATCCCAGGAAACAGCGAAGCCGACAGCCTGGCAGGGTCTGGACCAGCTGGCTCCCGTTACACCGACGAAGTGCCACTACAGGACATAAAGCGATGGATAGTCAGCAAAATGTGGGAAGCCTGGGAAGCAGAGTGGTGCCAATCCCAATCCCTCTTCATCCGAAGAATCAAAGGAATGACGAGTAAGTGGACGGATATGTCGAAACTACGGGACCAGAAGGTGGTTTCTCGTCTTAGGACAGGCCATACAAGGATCTCACATAGTTTTGATGGGACGCAGTTCCACAGAATGTGCTACGTTTGCGGAACCACTGCATCTGTGGAACACATCCTATGCCTGTGCCCGCAATACCAACAACTACGGGAGCAGTACGCACTTCCCTACAGCATTAGGGATATACTGGGCGACGAACCTTCCACTTTAGCGACAGTTATTTATTTCCTCAGGGACGCTGGGTTATACAACAACATTTAGATCCTTTTAACTTTCTTTTGG